ACACACTTCTTCGGAGACTAGCGCTCTCTCACATCCAGGATTTCACTAGACTCCCCATGTCTTGGTTGTATACTGTAATTGGTGATAGTGAGATAGTTCACCTCATACCTTAAAAAAGGACAAAAGCAACATTTGTCAACATGTTGGATACTATTGTTCAATCATTCTAATCTAATCTGCCCACTTAATTCCTATGCCATTTTAGACTCTACTCTTTGGTAGATTGAGGTGGCTGCTGATCCTGGGGGCAAAAAGCAACTGTGGAGTTTGGGGAGGAGAGTGTTTGCTACACATGCCTTGCACCCCCTTAGGCTATTCAGTAGCCTCTCTAATGCTGTAGAGAATCCTGATCTGTTGCAATGTTAAAGTAGCACTCAGCCACTATCCTTCTGGCTTTGGTATGTGAAACAGGAGGTAGGGAGAATCAGTCTTGTCTTTTAGCTCAAACAATAAACATCTAGGCGTATGCTAGTGGATTTATAACAACTCTTGCAAGAGAGAATTGTCATTTCTGGAGCACTCTAGCCATCTCCCACTTCCCTGCCTCAATTGGTGTTTCCACACAGATTTAAAAAGGGCTTCCAAACTGACCATCATAAGCAATCTTCACTGATAATTGTGACAATCGGCAGCCTTTTAACTTTTGTTACTCTAATCCAGTGCTTTCCAAACCTGGGTAAAATGCCCCAAATTGGATAAAAGTGGTTCATCTCTGGGTAATGACACACGAACCCTTACCCAATCACAACAGGGACATTTAAATTGACTTAAAGATTGCCACGGGTACTCAAATATATATGAAAACCTCTCAAAGTATTCCTCTTAAGACAAAAATAAATGAAATTACCAATGGTAATTTGTTGAAATGACTTAAAATCTTTCAATGTTGTTATTTTTATAATACAGGTAGTCCTTGAGTTACGACCATTCATTCAGTGACCATTCAAAGTTACGATGGTACTGAAGGAAGGGACTTATGACCGGTCCCCAAAGTTCTGGCTGTTGCAGCTCCCCTGCGGTCACATGAACAAAATTTGGGCACTTAGCAACCAACTTGCACTTATGACCGGTTGCAGCATCCCACGGTCACGTGATCGCCATTTGAAACCTTCCCTGTTGGCTTCCCACAAGCAAAGTCAATGGGGAATCCAGCAGGGGAGGTTGCAAGTCACTCAGGTAAGTCTCCTCAACCCACCCCAGACTTTCTTCGTTTGTTCACACCATACCCTCCTTCTCTGCTTCTCTTGCTCGTATGCACCCACCAGGTTTTGGGTAATGAAGGAAAAAGTTTGTGAAGCACTGCTCTAATCTAATGGAAATATGCATTACTTGTTTGCCAAACCCTTTCAATATATTACAATCCAGTTTTAGAAATGAGCCTATGATTTAATTTGAACTACTCATATTGGAGTTGATGCAAATAGAACCACCAAGCGGATCTTTTTTTACCATAAAATGGTTTAAACATGAGTGCAGTAATAATGAAGTACCTCAGTGCTGGTGTAGACAAAGTTTAGATTTTTTTCGACATGTTATCACTCATTTGAATTGGGTCTGAGATGCAAGAATGGCTGTGGAAGCCAAGCCTTTTCAGATGAGGAAACTGCATTATCATGAGGAAAATGATTTTCCTCATGAAAACGTATAGTCTATTAGACAAAAATGAGAGCATTTTTCTGAGACAAATTTCCTTTCAAATAGGTTAATGAACATCCCAAGTCACTGATTACTTTATTACATTTCTATCCTGCCCTTTTTTCAAGAAAGCCCAGAAAGACATTTTCAACCTATCACCTGTGAGACAGGTTAGGCTGAAGGAATGACTAGTCCTATAGTATCACCCAAGTAGAGGCCTGAGATCTCACCCAGAAATCTGTATGAGGACAATGTGAATATTTACACAATGCTGGGACATCATAAAGATGGGAGATGCTTCTAAGATTGGGACAGGAATGGGTCAGTCCCCATGAGATTATATCAAGAGAGATTCCCCCCCCCCCCGCCACACACAATGCATACAGAATAAAAATTGCACTCTACCTGACATCCCTCCATTTCTGCCATACTTCCAGAAGTCCTTGGCAACCAAATTTGCCAAATGTAGAGATTCTACGTTCCCATATAAAAGGGCAATGAAGTAATCAGAATGTGCCCTCTGCACAAATGCTGTCTGTATGTCTTGTGACATATGTTGATGCATTAGGCAATAATTTTGAGGGGTAGAGTTTTCTGGGTATGTTAAAATTAATCAGCTTCACATCCAGTATTGCTCTTCGGCTTGTTTTACAAGAGCACCCACAGCAAATTTGTTGCTTAAAGTGATAAAATGAAGAAGATATCATGCTTCATACAGACTAAGTTTGCTGGTCCAGGTAACTTGGCATTATTTACTGAAACGTGTAGCTTTTTCGTTGCTTCCACTTCAAGGACTGAACATGGAAAGCTCTTTCTGGAAAGAATGTGCTCTATCAGTGAACTAGGGTGCATCTCCTGGGGACATATGCAGCCTACAATATCAAGTTTTGTGCTTTTCTCCCCGTTCAAACTGATAGCATGCCTGAGAATTATGTTGCATCTCAGTGAATTTTTGCTCAGCCATAACAGGAGCAACATGACTCCAAAGTAAGTCTCTTTCAGTGACTGACAGGTTTGCATATGAGCACAGATGTTCTCAAGAGCACTCTGATGTCATGGGTGCACACTGGGGACATCCTCACCACTTATCCTATACTTTGAATGTTCACTAACCTCATAAGTCACCTTTTTAAAAAGATGTACCTGAATATTTTCTGTACTCATGAGTCTGTGAAGGCTTCCACTAACTTACTTGGGTTGTGATTGATGACTGGAGATCACATGAGCTAGCTGTAGCCATATGAATTGTATTAACTTAATATGCAGCCCTCCCAATTTTAGGCTTGGAAACTTCAGATCACATAGTGTTGTTCAAATTTCCTTCAGAAAAAGTGACTTCATCTCATTGACATCTATTTAATTATAGTGTTTATTGATTGTTCTTCCCAGTTTTGGTAATAACCTCCTTAAGAAGCAGTATTTTTATTTGTAAAATTATTTTAAATTGTAAAGGTGTAAGTAAATGTGAATGCAGCATTGAAGAACAAAAATGCAGTTAGACGGGAATCCTATATCCAGTTAGATGCATAAGGCAAGTTTCACTGAATGCAGAATCCAGGGAGACTAGAATTTAAGTACTCCACTGTTAATTTCAGTTAGGGGATGAGCTAAGTGATGACCAGATGTTTAATTATTGCTAGACAATTTGCTAGATGTTTGTTTATATTTTTGATCATTTTGTCATCATTTACTACTTGGATCTTGACTTTACCTTACCCCGAGAATGTAAAAGTGATAGCAGAGAGCCTGATTGGTATAGTGGTTATGGCATTCAGGCTAGAAACTGGGAGATGGTGAGTTCTAGTGCCACCTTAGGCATGAATCCAGCTGGTGACTTTGAGCCAATCACTCTCTCTCAGCCCTAGAAAGGAGGCAATGGCAAACCACTTCCGAAATCTTGCCAAGAAAACTGCGGGGACTAGTTTGGGCAGTCGCCAGGAGTCAACATTGACTCGAAGGCACCAAAACAACTGTTGGATTAAACTAAACATTTCTAAGCATTTTGCTTCACCGTCCAGCAACCATTCTTTAATGGTTGCATGGACCATTACTGGACACTCTAATTTGTTCATAGTATTTCCTATCACAGAGGCGCATCACCTCTGCAGAGATCTTATCTATCTCAGATTTGTTCAAACTTTTCTTGCGGTAATGAATCCCCTAAATATACATGTGGAGCACTTGCTTTTACCATAGCCTTCATTTAGCTGGATGAGCCCTTGCTCTACGAACACAAGAGGGCAAAACACAGACTTGTTTCCACTTTTTGTATAACCATTAGCTGTTGTTTCTTTTCCAAGGCATCCTGCTTGCCAGACTCTTTTGTTGCACTTGGCTATGAAGACACCTCTTGCCAAAACGCTCATCAGAGAACATGCACTCACCCAAAGACATTTAAAGTCTCATGCCCCCAAGATGGCCAGAGTGTAAGCTAAGGGGCTTAGAGGATTTCCCCCCCTTAAACTAGGGCTTACTACAAATACAGACACCTTTCTCCTTTCTTTCAGATGTGGAATAAAAGGCAGAGTACTATCAAGGGTAACAAAGTTATATTCCAGTTTTAACATACTGTAAGTGCAATGACCTAATTACTCAGGTGATATTCTTCCTGGCTGCAAAAAATGCTAGGCTCTGATACAGAAGGACTATCTGAATAAGTCTTAAATTAGGGGGAAAAGGGGGATGAGTGAGGGCAGAACAATGTACAGCCAAAAAGAACCAACGCAAAGGAGGAATGTGGTGGTGGTGGTAATTCCTACTTTTTCAAGGTTGCGCAAGGTTCTTATCATCCTAGAGAAAACAGACACACACACACACACACACAGCAGTTTGGTTTGTGACAAAAGCTTGTTTCACTGGTCAAGGCACACATACAAAAAGGAGTGAACTTCAGAAAAAGAGCAAAGGCCATATTCACTTCAAAGACACAGAGACATTTAATCATATTGAGCCATCTACTTTATCAAAATGCTTGAACTATATTCTGACAATGCAAACCATGTTACTTTAGATCTGCCCTCTTACTTAAGACTATGGCATGGATGAATGTATATTGGGTAATTTCTAGGGCTGGACACTCTTTTCAGCTAGGGAAATACTCTTACAGAACAATTCTATCTATATGAAGGAAAGCACAGTACGTGACACTTAATTTGCGCAAGGTATACTGAAGTCTTGGTTTGGCCTATGAAATACATCAGGAAACGCCAATGTGAACTACAGGTCCAAGAGTCATTTCTCTGGACTGGGCAATATCCTATCCATTCTTCTCTATAAATCTGAGAACAGAGAAAATTGGAATCCAAAGTAAGACAAATGGCAAGGGCACGCAACTCAAAATGATAACACATTCAGAATTTTCTTCACATTTTTTATTGGCAACTTTACAAGGGCAGTGATCTGCAAATTACTTTGTTATCAAAAGGCACATGACCGAAGGTACTTTGGTTGTGAAGTGCTGCTTGATGCAATCCAGCCGCATTCAAATTCATGTACTTCGATGTTTCCTACAGAAAGATGGGGATTGCATCCACTGCCTACAATGCAACTGAACTAGTATAAAACAAAACATTTTTCACAACCTGGGCAAAGAAATCCTAAATATCCACAATGATTATACAGCCTTTCAACAAGTATCTTGGAAATATTATTTTATATACAAACAGCTCCTGCACATTAACAATGCTACCATCTAAAAGTGTTTAGATTCAACATTTGTACAACTAGGCACACAAGCAGTACTACTCTGTCACCTATCCACATTTTTTTAGGCCCTGCCCAGACACGCTCTCATCAACAGGTAAAAAGGTTTTAATACTTTTTATAAATAAGTCCATCAATTTCCACAGAAAACTAATAGCAAATAAAATATTCCAACTGGGAATAAACTTGTACATTATCTTGGAGGATTCCCCCTTCCTCTTGTGAATTAATATACATACGTATGAGCTTGTGTGTTTATTAAGTCCCACTCATTACAGATACTAAAGAAAACAGGAGATGATGTTAGCTGGAATGGAAGCTGGAAGACTCTGATTCTGTTGAAACAGAAGAATGTCCTGCACGCTTGCCTTTGGAAAGGATCTTAAGGCTTGATCCTCGGCTGACAGAGGTCAATGCATTTTGGGCTGATGTCTTGAATTTGGCACCCAGAAAAGCATACAGGATGGGATTCAGGCAACAATGGAAGAACGCAAGGCTTTCGGTAATGACGATCCACTTATGCACTACTGCCTCAAAACTGCAGCCTCTGTTGATGAATCCAAGGAAGACAAAAGTGTCTATGGTGATACCAATGTAGTATGGTAACCAGCAGGCGAAGAATGCCACAATCAGGATAACAGTTGTCTTCAAAGCTTTACGTTTCTGATGACCCTTTGACTTTGACAGCTTGGAAATTATAATGCAATAACAAGTCAATATTATAAGGCCAGGCAAGACAAGGCCTACTAAGATATGCTGGAATCGGAAGGGAATCTGCCAGTTCTCATTCGTGTAAAATCGCTGGCACACATATTTTCCACCAACTTCACTAGTACTAGCAAAAATGATATCAGGTATAGTCAAAAGCAAAGCTGGCAGCCAAACACCAACGTAGACAATCCTTTCAGCCAACAATTTCCGAGGTCTCTGACTGTTGGTAGCATGTACAATCGCCAAGTACCGATCTAAGCTGATGAAGGCCAGGATCAGGACACTGCTGTACAAATTGACAGTGTAAATGATGTGAATAATTTTACACAAGATTTCTCCGAAGTACCAGCTTATCACAGCATCCACAGCCCAGAAGGGTAAGCTAATGACGAAGAGGAGATCAGCCACTGAGAGATGTACCCTATACTTGTCAGTTATGCTCTTCAGCTTCTTCTGACAGCCCATGACAACAATCACCAAGCCATTGCCAACAACTCCTGTCAAGAAAATGATGGAGTAGATGGTGGGTAAGAAGATCCGGCTGAAATCTGCATTTTTCTCTTCCAAGCATACCCACTGGTAGTTCTCATCATCTCCAGAACCTGGCTCATCAGTAGTATTATCAGACATAAGAATAACGAATCCAGAAGGCATCTGTAAATGACCAAAAAAAATAAAAATAAATTAGAAGATGGCAAACAAAGACAGAATAAGACATATTCAGTGGCAAACAAGAATCAGCAATGAATAGTGCTTCAACAGCCAACTTTAAACTATTTGTCTCTAATAAAATACATTTAATTCCACTGTTAAAGGCTCATTCCAACATGTACGTCTCAACTCTCTGAAGGACTCTTCAAACATGAGAAAACACAAACCATATTCAATGAACATGAGGGGCAACAACTATACAGACATCTATTTATTTTAGTTACATGGGATGTATATGCACCAGGTCAATCACTGTTTTCCAATGACTGCTTCATGGAACTAATTGAATGCCGAGATGCACAAAGAGTCTCTCTTTGAATTTGATGATTGGAAAACAGATCTGAGCAGGAATTTATAAAAAACACACACTGATGCTTCCATGTGGATATGGTTACAGCTTTGAAAACCATTCTATAAGTATGTGCAAAATGTTTTGTGCACAGACTGTCCCATGCATGGAAGGGGCAGTATTGGGTGATCTATGCCCAGACTAAAATGTGTACATCTCAGAAGAGGTGTTTTAGAGCGGGAGACAGCAGGAAAAATGCAAAGTCAGTGTTAGCTAAGTGGAGTTAGAGAAAGGAAGAGGCTGGGAAGATCAGAAAAGAAGAGGGTAGACTGACCATATATGATGTACTTGAAGTAGCAGTGGGGAGATAAGGTCCTGAGAAAAATGGCAGGTGGGCTGGAGCACAAGCCAAACTGAGAAGAAGAAAGAGAGGAGAGGTGCGCTAGCTCTGCCCTAGTCACCCGTAAGACTCCTACAGTTTATCTTGGATCTGGAACAACCAAATTGTATTGGGTTTTAGTTTAGCCAGATTATGTCCTGCCCAAAATAGTGGTTGAACTGCCAAACCAAAATGAATTTCTTCTATACATGAAACAAAACACATTTTCCAATTGGTACACACTTCTACCATATTTACTGTATTCTTCTGAAGAAGAATCAAAATAAGCAAAGGAAGACCATGATTGTAATGGTCGATTTACAGACCAGTAAGGATTTAGGAGACAGTTTTGTAAATGGCCACCTGCAAACTCCTGCATTATCAGTGAAAAGAACTGCCTTCTTGTTGGTTCACAAGAAAGCCATTAGAAAGAAACTAAAGAAGTCTCTACCCTAATACAGGTAGTCCTCATTTAGTGACCACAATTGGGACCAGTGACTCAGTTGTTAAACAAAGTGGTTGCTAAGTAAACCTGTGACTGTGCTTATGATTTTACTTCAGCTTTCCTTTGCTTTATAGACTTGCGAAGGTTGTAAATGCGGGATTGGTCATAAAGTTACTTTTTCATCATCACCTTATCTCCAAATGGTCACCAAACAAGACAGTTGCTAAATGAGGACTACCTGTATACTGGGGGATAAATTGGTATTAAAGTAGAAAGTAATGATAAAATTCTTGTAGTTCTAATCCTTTCATTTCAATAATCCTGTTAAAGATGACCCTGGGAAGATCTTGCTTAGAAGAATTACTTTCAGTTGAGTCAGATGCCAAGAGCCTGACAATGAAAATGTTTCCTCAGAACTGAGGGCCTGAAGCACGAATAGGTCCCTTCTTCCTCCTTCCAGCTGGGTCTCACATTTTATTCCCCACTAAAGTTCCAGTGTTAGTGGCTGTACTTCTCAGTTAAGAGACTGGGGGTGGAGAGAAGAACATCTGAGTGTCCCATGATCATTACTGTATGTTCTCTTCTCTTAAGTGGATGATAGGAAGGATGCTTCTGGAAGGAAATCCCATACACCCACCAAAATTAGTATTTCATGGCATTACCCTAAGGTTCTCCACAGCATCGAGTACCTTCTGGCTCTTTATAAATCCCTACTTAGGTTATGTGGTTTTTCACATGCTCCTGGGGTCTTCAGCAGTACAAAGATACCCACCAGAAATGTGCTACAGGTCCATAAATAAATTTCTTATTCAACAGCCATAACGTATTACCAGATCTTTTTAGATCAATTGACCAGAGGATCCTGATTATGAGGGTTTTTTTCCCCTGAAGGAGAGGTAATCCCCAAATGAGTAATAAATAAAAGCTGAGAAAATGTAGCCTTGCAGCTAAGCACTAGTCTAGTAGCCATAGATAATGAGTTATTATTTACAGGGAGCACATGGAATTCTCTGCAAGCAAGTGGGAAGATTAGCAGAGGACTGATGAAGCCAAGGCCAGAAACGGAGGGAACTCCCTTTCTGCTCCAGTACAGAACCACAACTCTCTTCTGCTGGCCCAGAAGGCTAATTCATTTTCCCCTCCTTGGAGGCAGATAATGCTTCAGGACTTCTTGACTAGGCTGACTCAAAAGGCCAGAGGTTGGTTCATTAAAAAAAAAAAAAATCCAAACATGGTTAAAAAGTCACCATGAAGTGAGCAAGCCTCTAAGTTAATCAGAACTCCTCATCTGCCTGAATGTTATGCCAAACCAAAACAACTGAGACGCTTGGTTCATCAGCAGCACAATTGGTTCCATAAATTTAGAAAATGGCAAGCCAACAAAAAAATGGTGAAGGAAGAGGTGAAAGCCCAAGTCTGCTAATTCAAATTCTCTGCGAGAACATAAAGGAGGGAAGGAGATGTTTCAATTTAGCAAGGCAACAGATGGAAAAAAGGAGAAGTGCAATCTCAGGAAACCACCAGCCGTTTGAAAAGCAAGTAAGGGGAGTGGTAACCTGGCACAGCCTTGTTCAGGTCTTCCTACTGCCTTGCACAAACTATTCTTTCTTTGCTATAAGGCACTTCTACAAATGGGTTTGACAACAAATTCAAAACAGAGACAGTCTATTCAGGCTGCTGGGCTTTGAAAGGAAGCCTTCTGGCTCCAAGAGGGATTCTCCCATAAAGGACACAAAAGTGGTGCTTTTCTGAACTGAAACAGGACCGGTATCTCTCTCAACATTCCCACACATTCAAGTAGAAATTGAAAGGGCATGAAACCTATGCAGGAGTTTCTAAAGTTCATCAAACTTTTCTTGAACCCAGTATGTTTTCTACTTTATGAAGAGAGACCCGCGCTTAGATTCTCATGCTACCTAGCAGCCTTTCCACAAGTTGGTGAGGCAATACGCCAGTGGCAATATCCATGCAGAAACCCTGCTAAGTTAATCATTTCGGGCGCCCAATTGTCCTATACTTTGCTGCTTATTATTTATATACACACATACACACACACACCACTTAATTTTTTCCTCTTTTCACTCTAGAAGCAGAAAAAAAAAATCCTAGTAGGTCTTACACATAATGACTCATAGTTTTTAGCACATTCTGCGCTATACTTAGGATAAAGGGAAGAAACGCTATGAGTCAAGGAAGGCTCATAAACGTCCGAAAAGGGCGCGATCCAACGTTTAACTTTTCTAATTCAAGCTTCACTTTTAATATTAGTCAATCGCGCTTCATAAAGGCAGCCAACGATTCCGCAAAGCTTCTCCCACGTGTTCCAGCCTCGGCGAGTTTTTTTTCTCTCTTTTTAAGCGGGATAAGATCCCAGCGGTGGAAAAAAGGATCAATGCAATGCAAGCAAAATCGAAGACCACTTATATTGCCTGTTCACTCTGCAAAACAGAATCGTCACTGAGGGTCCCCGCCCGACCCCACGCGCTTTCACCAAGTCAGTCGCGCTCCTCTCCAGGCAAACTCCTGAGACGAACAGGCAAGCCGCTCACGGAACAGCCTCAACAAGTTGAGAGAGAGCAACGCTTGGTGGATTCGGGGCAAGAAACTGCCTCGTTCAAAGCAAAGGCAGAGGGCGTCCGCTTACACGACCTTTAGGAGATAGCTGGCAACAAGGTGCAACTCAGATCCACCACTTCACGGCCGGGTCCACTTTCTTAATGGCACCTCTGCGAGTCTGCATAATAGGTGCAAATGCTCACCAGTGGTTTGGTTTGGTTTTTTGGTCCCAGGTTAGAAAGATCTAGGAAACGCTACTCGGGGTCTTATCGGGAAAGAGAGCCAATACACGGTTTACAATCTCAGCAAAATAAAACCACACGGCTGCGCGTGTACTTCTCCCCCTCTCCCCCAAGGGCTTTACGAGATCGCGTCGGGCAAAGCAAGTCTTGACATTTAGGAACCTCCAACCAGGCGCTCCGTCTCTCGTTCACCCATCCATCCATCCATCCATCCATCCATCCATCCATCCATCCATCCATCCATCCATCCATCCATCCATCTCCGGGCAAACGCCTCGCGCCTCCCTTACATCTAGGCTTATATCCATCGCTCGAGCGCGCTCTCGGCAGCCTCTGCTTCCACGCCGCGGTAGCAGCCACCCCGCCACACGCAGACAAAAGTTCCCGTCCTGGGGCTATCCGCGCTCCTTATAAAGCTACCCCTCCTTCCAGCCAGTCCATAAAGCT